CGGCTCTGACCAGCTTGGACCAGCTATGACAAGCCAAGACCAGTTATGACTAGCTTAGACCAGCTCTGACCAGCTTGGACAAAATATGACCAGCTAAGAACAGCTTGATCCAGCTTGGACTAGCTTGGACCAGCTATGACAATCTAAAACCAGTTATGACTAGCTTAGACCAGCTCTGACCAGCTCTGACCAGCTTGGACAAGCTATGACCAGCTTGGACCAGCTAAGACCAGCTTGGACCTGCCATGACAAGCCAAGACCAGTTATGAATAGCTTAGACCAGCTCTGACCAGCTTGGACAAGCTATGACCAGTTAAGAGCAGCTTGGACAAGCTATGATCAACTAAGACTAGCTTGGATCAGCTAAGACCAACTTGGACCAGCTATGACAAGCCAAGACCAGTTATGAATAGCTTAGACCAGCTCTGACCAGCTTGGACACGCTATGACCAGTTAAGACCAGCTTGGACAAACTATGACAAGCTAAGACCAGGTTGGATCAGGTAAGACCAGCTAGGGCTATGACAAGCCAAGACCGGTTATGGATAGCTTAGACCAGCTCTGACCAGCTTGGACCAGCTAAGACCAGCTTGGACTCAATGAGTATGCAGAGCGCGAACAAAGACAGATGGTAAAGAACCGAAAGTTACTTAGAGCGAAATGGAACAGGGAGTTGTAGAGAGCCATGATCGTTCATCTACTGAAAAAATTTTAGTACAATCAATATATGGAACACGAAATTTAAGGAATTATGGCGTGCGTGCAGAGGAGGACTGAGCTATCGAAAGAAGCTAAATTCATCTAAAAGTTCAGTGAGTTGTTAATAGTTCTCAGGGACTCCTCCATTCGATGCTGAAAAGAGCCATAACAGCTACTGGACATTGCAAACATATTTTCCTGAAAAATTGTTTTGAGAGAAAGATTTTATAAATTTCTGCCTACAACAGCACTGCCTGTACGGTCAATGAATGCCGAAACTGCTAATATTAACGTTACAATTTCTTCAAATTTGTTTAAAGGGCTGTTGTTAAACCGATCTACCAATTTTCCTTCATAGACACGGGGGACAGCAATAAACTAAAGCACAAAAAACATAACCTCCAGTGGATGAAGACGTTGTTTATACCCAGTGACTAGACCCAAAGATTCATGAGTTCAATACCAGGCGACAAAAGTGGTGAACCAAAAACTTGGAGAGTTGAGTCAAGGGAAAATCACTGATACATTCGGAAGAGGCATGGTAGGAAGACCTAAAACCATCTACTCCGAAATAAAGGCTTCGATTTGAAATTCCAATCACCTGAAGAATGACTGAGCGTACAAAAGCCGAAAGGTTGTGAATATAGCAATGAAGCTGAGATTAACTGTCCGAATAATGTACATAATACAAGTAAAAAAAATAAAACCTCATAAACTACACTTCTTGCCTTCTGTTATGCTCATACAACATTAAAGAGTAACATTCTGCTTTATATATATATATATATATATATATATATATATATATATATATATATATATATATTATATTCGCACAACTTATTAGAAAGTGCTCAATATCAGAGATAGAGCTAACATATTTGGTTGGATTGATGTGAGTTTGTGCGTGAAACCCAGGGTTAGGTCACAAACTCACATCAATCCAAACAAATATATATATATATATATATATATATATATATATATATATATATATATATATATATATATAAAAAAGAAAAACAGACCACTTTAAGGTACCATTATAATAATTAATTTCATCAGAGTCCTTTTAAAGGACGCCGGAACATCAGATAGCACTTCCAAAAATGAAATGAAACGAAAAATGAAATTAAAATTGATGGGTAGCGTGAGTTTTTGTAATTTAACAGAGAGTGTAAAAGGGATAGTTAAAGGGACATGTTAGAGTATAGGGAGGGATTAATTTCATATCTCTCTCAAGTATACTTTGTATTGGGGGAGGAGAAGTGACCAGACCTTGACCTATTTAGATGGTTAACTTAACGGAAGTGATATCTTGAAATGGGAAGAAAGAATGGAGAAAAGAAAAAGGAAATGAAAGAAGAAGGAGAGGGAAGTAAAGAGAAAGAGTCTGTAATTGGGTTTTAGCAATTAATGTAAAGAATAGATTTTAATACTGGATAGAAATTTAGATGTCTAAAAAAATTATTTGATGTTTGCTATCAATTTAAATATTTAATTTTTTAAAACAAATAGTTTAAGGATTTAATATAAGTTAGATACTATATTTATTAACACATTTATAGGGAACATATTAAAAAATATTTTAAATTATAATAGTTTGTTTACCCGACCAATCGTACTTTTTTAATATTGTAAAAATAGTTAAATATATATATATATATATATATATATATATATATATTATCCGACGTTGTTTTTAACGGATTCACGTGCCTGGAATGTTTGTTTGAAATTTGAGTGGGCAGACCAATAGATTTAATGCACACTGTCTAAAAGGAAACTCGGTGTTTATATAAAATATGTCTATCAAAAATAACGTTTTAATTAATATATATGTATATTTAATTAAAGTGAATTTAGACAGCAAGATTTTTTCTTTAAACCATTTTTATTGAACAATATCGACAAACCCTCTCTGCCCAAATCTTTATTTAGATTTTTCAATTTTCGACTAAGTTGTTTTTTAGATTTTAAAGATTTTAGATTGTTTTAAGATTCAAAATGGCTAAACTTTCCAAAGATCATATTTTGAATTCGATGATTTTAGACTTTACCTAGCGTTTATATACATATGCTGTATATAAGAATATTTACAGTAGGATACTATTATGTTTTTAGTCATACAAAGGTGCATCAAGAGCATCAGTTTGTAATAAACATGGACTCACTCTTATTTAAATGTTAATTGTTAAAAATCAACCAATCTAAGGAAATCCGTAATCTAGACCCAATACTTGCTCATGAAATATGTTTTTCGGATAATATACACGATAATATACTTAGAGGTTCATTAATTATCCCTCCCTTGGGACTCGAACTCAGTATGAGAACTCGGAGAGCCGTGTTCGAATCCCAGTCGAGGTTGTTATGTTCACTTAAGTACAAATACCCTTGACAAAGCTATGAATCCATCCCTTCTTCTCACAGCTATGGGTGAAATAGTAAGATAGAGTGTGTTTTTTAGCCTTGGTTGGCAACCAGTCTACCGTAGTAAGAAAAGGAAACGTACTGCTGGAAAAAATATTTTGCCTTGTCAGTCATGTATCCAAACATACATGATCGGCCAAGCGTGTATCACGTGTGGCACTTAACTGACTGAATGTATCAATAAAAGCTTCGACACACACATACACACACACACACACACACTGGCATACACGCACACACGTGGTATTTACTATTTCCCCAATTGGACGAGATGTGACACAAGGTCTATTTTTAGGTGGAGACCCGAGCACGTACACCCGGGACAGGAACAAAATTTCACCTCAGCCCTCGCAACCGTCAGTTGCGCTGGCCCCGGTGGGAGTACTGATCCCTTCCTATGGTTCAATAGGAGGACACAGTCTCGGGCATCTGTTCCCCAGGGCTGGGCAACTCTTCAGTATTATTTTCCTCGGCCCTTTGCCAGAGAAGCCCCTGGGCGCATTCTGTCCAAAGAGGGAGGCGCAACTGAGAGATGATAATTAAACGTGAACTTACTGAAAAAAAAGTAAGTTACACACACACTCCCAATATTGTTTTGTCTACAAAAATAAAATACTCAGTCCACGTAAACGCAGGTGTTTGATTTTAAACAAAATATAAATAAATTGTTTCATTTCCTCAAAAGAGATGTTCTGAATCTTAAACTAGATCCCTTAATTAATAAAGCATTCGGCGAACTTCCCTAATTACTTGGACAAACACCCAGTTTACTGTCACTATTGGCATTTGGAAAACTGAAACGAACGAATGCCTCCGACGTAATTATACATGGATGGTGCCAAATCTGTAAGCAATTTGTCACCGATACAACTTACCTTCCTGCAAGTACAAAATTAACATAAATCCCCGCATCTTTCTTGTGACAGCTCGGAAATAATTTATCTAATTTACTGCAACGTTTTTGACAAAGGCAACTATACGGGGGAGACTAATACTGAACATCGTCTCCGATGTAACAAAGATAAAAAGAAGTTTGAGTATTATTTTATTTATTCTATTCTAGCACAGCCTTTCAAATTAACTGATCATATTACAGACAATACGAGATTTGTCTTTCCACTATCTTATTTTAATTCATAATAAAGCCGTAGAAAAAGTGAACGCAATTATATTCTGAATTTAATGAGAACAATCGGATTAAAAATGACAATAATTCCTAATGGTTATAATTTGTATGAAGACATCGACTAAAACAACTGCATTATTTTAAAATTCTAATAGCTTGATAGTACCAAATCTACACTTGTAAAAATTCTAATAGCTACATAGAACTTAATCTATGCTTGTATAAATTCTAATAACTAGATAGGACTTAATCTATGCTTGTGTAAATTCAAATTGCATCATTGGACCTAATATACGCTTGAATAAATTCTTATATGTTACGATCTTCTGATATCTATATTTTCGTTACTGTTTTGAATTTTGTATTTATTTACATATTTTTTATTGATTATCTTTTTAATTATCTCTTCATGATTACCACTGCTACTAATATTTTTTTTATTATGCCTATATCATCATTCTTACCATTATTTATACGGGGATAATATCCCATCGACTTTTATGCGGGCATTATTATTATTATTATTATTATTATTATCGCTGTTCTTCTTCTTCTTCTTCTTCTTCTTATTATTATTATTATTATTATTAATATTATTATTATTATTATCATCATCATAATCATCACCACCATATAATATTCTTCATTTTAAGTGTCTATATCATTTTATAAAATCTGCACTCATAATGTACGCAGACATCTTTATTTTTGCCTTTCTCTCTCTCTCCATTCCTATCAATGTTTATCTCCCTTGAACATATATATATATATATATATATAGAGAGAGAGAGAGAGAGAGTGAAAGAGAGATAGATTGATAGATAGATTGAAAAGGACATAGAGAGATAGATAGATAGATAGATAGATAGATAGATAGATAGATAGATTTGAACAGAATCAGATCGAAAGATATGAACAGACTTAGATAGAAAGAAAGAAAGAAAATGACACAGATAGATAGATAGATAGATAGATAGATGGATAGATAGATAGATAGATAGATAGATAGATATGAGCCCAATCAGATCGATTGATAGTTAGATAAACAGAAAGATAGGACATAGATAGATAGATAGATAGATAGATAGATAGATAGATAGATAGATAGATAGATAGATAGATAGATAGATATGAGCCCAATCAGATCGATTGATAGTTAGATAAACAGAAAGATAGGACATAGATAGATAGATAGATAGATAGATAGATAGATAGATAGATAGATAGATAGATAGATTCATTCTGAAAGAGAATGTCGAAGATTCTTGCTGTTGTAGAATAGTTTAAAATCCTAATGGGCTGCACGTTTGCGCTCGTCTTTCAACAGGAATGAAAACCTCGTCTCCTTGGATTTTAGCGAAACTCCCGCAGAACTGACTAACCTAAACAAAGTCTTTAACTTAAGAGTTCGGCCACCCGTGCAAATCAAAATAAAGACGGAACAATTTAAGTTGAGTAAAGTAAAGAGTGGCGAGATCACTTACCGAGGCAACATCTGACAAAAAAATCCCACTTCCCAACGCTTGAAACTGGATCTATACTTGGCACAGTTCCGCTCTCATCGGCAAATTGTTTAGTTTCGTTGAGCATAAGGTGTTTAAGAGTAATTGCTGAAAACCCTGCTAGATGTAATGGCAGGAGGGAAAAGATTTGAGGAAGGATGGGCAAAACAAGCAAATAATGATGAAGAAAAGAATAAAGGAAGATGGAAGAAGAAAAGACTTGGTAATGATAGGGACAAAGAGAAATGGTAGATAAAGAAGAAGAGGTAAAAGAGAGAGGAAAGGACTTGAAAGCTTATAGAATACTATGGAGAAATAAGAAGAGAAGACAATGAAGAAGACGAAGGTATAAAGAGATTGAAGAATAGGGAAAGAATAGGATTAAAGATATCGAAAGAGAAACAAGCATGGACAAGAGAAAAGGAAGAGAAAAGTGATAAAGGAGAAAGAAAAGGAAGGAAGAGGGAAGAAGAAGAAGGAAAAAGAGAAAAGGTAAGAAAGAAAGGATGGAGAAAGAAAATACAAAAAAAAGGAAATATAAAACTAACAAAATAAAAAAAGAACATTATGACGAAAAGAAAATGATAAAAGAAATGGTAAAAAGTAAGAGTGGGAAATAAAAAAGAAAAAAGAAAATAGAAAAAGAAGAGAAAAAAGGAAGAGAACAATGATAGGGGAAAAACAAAAAAGAACAAAGAGATTAAATAGAAAAAAAGAAAAAGAAAATTTTTGAAAGAGTAAAAAGAGAAAAAGAAATCAGTTTTAAAAGGGGACGATAAAGCGTGAAAACGAATAAAAAATGATGAAGAAAATGAAAAAAAAGAGGAGAATAGAAGCGTATAGTAAAAGCGTGAGTAAAGAAAAAGAAAAGGGAAAGAAAAGAAGAACACAAATTGAAAGGAAAAAGAGGAAAAAAGAAAAAAAAATGAAAATAGAAAGAAAATAAGAAAAAAGAGAAAAAAAGTAAAGAAGAACGAGAAAGAAAAAAAGGGGAAAAGTCAATAGAAAAAAATAAAGAACTAATAGAAAAAAGTAAAGGAGGAAATAATTTGAGAAAGAGATAAGGAAAAAAGAAAGCAACATAAAATGAAAAACAAAGAAAAAGATGAAATAAAAGGATAGAAAGAGAAAGAAAAATAAGGAAAAAGAGAAAGAGAAAATGGCGAATTAATACACACTGCAGTAGAAATACCTTTAAAATAACAGTAAGACATTAACTAATGGGCCTGGCAGAAAAACCTCCCACATAATGGTAAGACATTAGCTAGAGGAAGACACCATTACCACTTGGTTATGTTCAATACCACCACACAGGGGATGGTTAAAATGTGGGACGTATTTCGGTCTTTTGAAAATATGAAATGAATTATTCTAAAAGTTTGTTTTTTTATTTGTTTTTCTTTATGCTTTTTTGTGTCATTCACAAAAAATCTTCCTTTGCTTAATGGGTAATAAAACAATTAGGATTGCTCTGAGAAAAGAGAGCGAATGAGGACTTTGATCTTATCTTTCTGTGTCCTCTGAACCATTTTAAACATTTCTCAATTTTTGTTTAAGTGCGACATTGTGATCAGTAACAGTTTTGGGATGGCCAAGGACGCAGTCCAAAAGCTGAGTAGAGCATTGCGAGACAGGCGGATTTATTTGGTAACAAAGAAAAGAGTACTCAGCTGTTACGTGACATCTGTCCTTTACGTCATTGAATGTTGGACGGTCTCCTTCTACAGAAGGGTGCTGAGAATATCATGGACCTAGCGTGTGAGCAAAGATGAGGTTTAGAGAGGATGCAAGCAAGAAGGAAGCTCTTAATTTAGATCAGGAAGAGGCAGCTGGAGTTCTTAGGACACATAGTGAGAAAGGAGAGCCTGGAGTTCTGGAGGATCTGATACTCACAGGTCGAATAGAAGGGAAAAGAGACTAGGGAAAGCAACGCGTCATATCTAGCAAGCATAAGCAAGTGGATGACAGAACGTGGCCTAGAGGATTTGGCAGGGATAGAGGAAGGTGGAGAGCCATGATCGCCTACGTCATGAAAGGGCACGGGACATAAAAAGAAAGAAGTGTTTTTTCTAGTATGTATATATCAGATCATCCCATAAGTTCTGTCCGAATTTTCCTTTTTTTTAAAATGAACGAAATTTAAAGATTATTTTTTAATGTCTAATGAAGCTGAATATTATTTTATGTTTAGATGCATTTAAACTGATCAAATTTTATTTCAGAGAACAATAAAATTAAATTTTGTTTGATTAAAACCCTGCTAACATTGAAGTACCCAAGAAACATTTGAGGCACATAATGCTTTATGAGTTTAAGAAAGGAAACTCAGCAGCCGAAGCGGCTAAAAACATTCACTCAGTTTATGGAGAGGAATGTGTGAATGAAAAAATTGCAGAAGATGGTTTGCAAAATTCAGAGGTGGAGATTTCAACCTTGAAGATGAAGATCGAACCGGATGTCCAGTTGAGTTTGATGAAAAGCTTCTTGAAGCAGCCCTTGAAGAAAACCCTGCTTTATCAGTTGAGAAATTGGCAGTGATTCTCAGTTCAAACTATACAACTGTTCATCGTCATCTTCAACAACCTGGAAAAGTTCCTAAACTTGGAAAATGGGTGCCTCATGAATTGTCTGAAAACAACCTCAAATCTCGTGTTGACATATGCTCTTCTCTCCATTCTCGCCAACTTGTTTCACCTTTTTTGGATAGACTTGTGACTGGCGACGAAAAATGGAACTTTTATCGAAATGTTAAGCGTCGTGGACAGTGGATTGGTAAAGGGGAATGACCCCAGCCACAGCCGAGAAGGGAACTTCATGTGCAAAAGATTCTTCTTTCAACCTGGTGGGATCGCCAAAGAATAATCTACTTTGAATTCTTACCAACTATTGAAACAATTAATGCTCAAATATACGGTCAGCAATTAGAGCGTTTGAACCAAGCTTTGAGGGAAAAAAGACCTGCTCTAGTGAATCGAATAGAGATGATGTGTCATCAGGACAATGCGCGACCCCACACAGCAAGAATCACGTCACAAAAGATCGAAGAACTTGGTTGGGGGAAAATTCCTCATCCACCGTATTCTCCCGATCTTGCTCCTTCAGAGGAGCATTTGTTTCGTAGCTTACAGAATAATTTGGAAGAAACAGCTTTTGTAACACAGGAAGCCAAAGCCAAAATAATTTTACAGTAATGGAATTAGTAAGCTTGTTAATATGGAAAGAAGTCATAGATAATCAGGGAAAATACATTGTTGATTGAATTTGTAATTAAATGTAGCATTTGGTCACTTGTTTTCTTCATTCAAAATTCGGACAGAACTTATGGGATGACCTGATATATATATATATATATATATATATATATATATATATATATATATATATATATATATATATATATTCCTTCTGCATGAATATATACTGTTTTATTGCAAAGAAAACAATATATATATATATATATATATATATATATATATATATATATATATATATATATATATATATAACTGGACACACGTATTCGAGGATAACCGTCTACTAGGGCGGCTAGCCAATCCCTACTGCAAACTATCGCTCAGGCACATTAGAGTTTGCTCAACATCCAACACACCCAGCACGCTCAACCATCGCTCATGATCTCTTATGACTTCGTACTAGCACAGCTATTGACAGCCCACATTTTCACTCATAAGATCAACCCATGGTATGGTTTTCAGGCACTTCCCAAAGGTGCTGCACGCTGGGATCGACCCCTCCAGTCCGATAAGATTCGGAAGTCTTCTTCCTGTCAAATCAACCATGGTGAGATTCGAACCCGGGTCACATGGTCAGAAAGCGAAGGTTCTAACCACTTGGTCACCATACTTTGTATGGTGCGTAGGGTTCGTGTGTCTGTGTGTTTGCCTGTGTGTATAGTAAGATATTCGAAAAATGAAAAAAAAACAAAGTAATTATCTTAGGATAATGACACTAATGATATTTGTGGTATATTAGGATAATAAGGTAATGGGATAATAGGATAATAAGATAATAGGATTAAGATAATATATTAGGATAATAAGACTAATGATTTTTTTTGTATATTAGGGTAATAAGATAATAGGATAATAAGACAATAAGATTAGGATAATAAGATAATAATATATTCGGATAATACGACTAAAAATATTTTTTGTATATTAGGGTAATAAGATAATTGAACAAGAGTGTAATAATATAATAAGATTAGGATAATAACACAATAATATATTAGGATAGTAAGATAATAAAAATAATAATAAAATAACATAATAGGGCAATAGGATAATAAGATAATAAAATTAGGATAATAATATATTAGGACTAATGATATTTGTTGTATGTTAGGATAATAAGATAATAGGTTAATAAAATAATATTATTAGGATAATAAGATAATAATATATTAGGATAATATGACGAATGATATTTGTTGTATATAAGCAGGTCCTTTGAATAAATACAACCGTCACAAGAAAGGATGTTAAAACGGAATTTTAGGACATTTCTATTTTCTTTCTCAACGGGGAATATAAAATGAAGTTGCACTTTTTTTGTCAATTTTTTTTTCTTCATGTGTTATATTACTGATTAAATTTATTAGTTTTGTATTAGTTGCTTGCCACGACTTGGTGTGTAGAGTATGAGTATATGGGACTTTTTTCTTTTGAAACTGTATTCATTCAGTATGCCTCAATTCAGATTTAAACAAAACTGTGTGAATTTACTTTAAAATGTATTTGAACTCAAGCATTCGGCGTTTTTATTGGCATTTAAACGAAGGAGAAAAAGCATGCATCTAACATTATCAATGGTCCGGTTGGTTAAAATATGCAGCTACAGTGAAAATGATGCCGTCTTTGATAGTTTTTTTTATGGTTTTCAAACCGAAGACGGAATTAGGTATCTGTTTCACCAATATTATTTTATGTTTTGCATCTGTTGAAAAAAGTAGATATATTACATTTGGACTGTCACAGAACACGTAAGGAGATTGGTTACTGCGTAAGTGCTAGATGGTGTAATATATATATATATATATATATATATATATATATATATATATATATATATATATATTGATGCATGTTTGATTAAATAATATAAACAAGATTTTTTTTATTTATTTTAAGTAAGTTCTTTTCATATGGTTTGATAATCTTAATAACATTATCATTGAAAGACGAAAGGAAATCACCATATTGATACATGTTTAAAACCAATCTAAACTTTCGGCTTACATAAGCTTATTATCAACGATGGCAATTACATTTCAATATATCAAACAATACACGGACGAAACAATAATGATAGTCTGTTTTTTTTTTTTTGCAATATGGTGATTTCCTTTCGTCTTTCAATGATAATGTTATTAAACTTATCAAACAATATGAAAGGAACTTAAAATAAATAGACAAAATTTGTCTATATCATTTAATGAAACACGCATCAATGAAAATTGCTGCCTACATATACACAATATATATATATATATATATATATATATATATATATATATATATATATATACATTTTTTTTATGTTTATA